CATTGGCCTTCTTGGCTACGAGGACACGCTGCTTTCTATACAAGCTAGAAATCCTTTACATTTGATTAATCATATAGAGTATAATCCAACATTAATAGATGTAATAGTCTGGTCAGTCTGAAACCAATTTGTAATTATATAGAGAAAAACCCCTATACAGAAAAGATTACTAACAAACACGGCAAATTTATCCTACAGATTAATAAAATCGACTATGATGTTTTTTGAAACTATTATCAGTTGTCATTCCAGATATGACCCTATAAAGATTATTTAACAGATCATCAGGCTTTCTAAATCAAAACTTACAGTTGCTTTTGGCCTCTGGGAACATAGTTGAGTTGTGAATAAACTCGGAGAATAATCAAAAGATATTTCAAGTTCAGAAATTCAGGGTCTTCTGTCACCTTCTCAGCAAAAATATCCATCAGTTCAGTAGGCTGAAAGCCAAGCATCGCAAAGGCAGAGAGAAGCAGGATAATCTAAAACAAGAAAAAAAATGAAAGTCAAGAAATAAAGTCAATAAAATGGATTATAATGAACATTTTTAATGAAAACAGACTTCTTCAGTTGTAACATCCCATTTATTTCCTATTTCTTTAAGTCAATAGGTAGAAGAACATTTTAAAATGTAACTGCCAACTTCATCAGAGTATTATTCCTCAAAATCTGCTCACCAAACATGAAAGACAGCATGAAGAAAAATAAAATGAAAACCAGCAGAAATTACCTGTTCTACTGGTATGGATATAAATCATTCAGTCTCCACCTCACCTGTCTTCTGTCCCAAAGGCAGGCAGTGGAAGTCACATAGTTTGCTACTGCTGAGAACAATTTTATATTACGATACTGGAGATCGCGGCAAGCTTCCAGAATAAGAATTAACTGCCGAAATGGAGCATCACGGATATTTTCTGTAACACAGGAGCAAAAAAAAGCACAGACAGCACAAAGCAGTGGGAGTTGTACGTTGGAGACACAGTGAGGCAAAGGGAAGAGGAAGAAAAAATAATCTGGTAAGAAACTGTAGAAAAGACTAGCCAAATGGAGCTAAAACTGAGTCAAATGGGAGGAAGGAAAGTCTTAACGGTGTTCGAGTGAAGGAGTTGAGAGGTGATAGAATGAGAGTGAGCGAGGATGAGGGCTACAGGGGACAATTAACAGAAGAGGCAAGAGAAAGGAACAGTGTGTTATGGGGAACATCTCCTGTTCTAGGATTCCTGAATCTCAGCATGGAAATCCCCAGGCTGGCAGTGATGGAGCTTTTTGTTTGCCCAGTTGGACACTTTTGCTATGTCAGCTTCGGGAATAACCAAGAACTAGATCTAAAGTTGCTGATTAATCAGATGTTGGCACATCAAAAAATTTGTATTTTCCATGTTTTATTTACAAAACTGCAAAAAACAGTGAATCTACATGCATGAATCTATGTTTAAAACATATACATATATATATAATATATATGTATATGAAAAGGTTGTTAAGCACAGAAACATTAGTGTATGCCATACTGGGAAATGTGGCAAAATCCTGAAAAACAAAGATGCTTCCTGCATTTTAAAGGTAATCAGAGAAGGGAGATGGGATGTAATTAGGAAGATTTTTATATAAGGAGAGGGAAACTTAATAAAGCTATTCTTTTCTTACCTAGAATCTTTTCACTGCAGGCATTCAGGATTGGAATGGAACAATAATTCATTGCAGCAAGAGCAAAAAACACACGCTGAGCATTCAGGAGTGTCAGATCGTCTACCTCCTTTAAAACAGCCTTCTAAAATGAAATAGAGCTTATTAAATCCTTCATTCTTCAGGTATATTATCACTGCTTTACGGTAAAGGTGTTTACACCAAAACTTTCCCAAATCCTTTAGCCTGTTGGGATTCATACTAAAGAAAAAGTAGTAACAAGCAGCAAAAACATGAAGTGACTTCTTGCAAGTTCAGCACATAATACACAATTAGAGCTGTAGTCTCATAAGGTTTTATAAAGCTCCTTTCAGTTAACAAGTGGAAAGATTGCTTCCCATACATCTAGTGCCAGATCCTCACCACCTTGCTCTAAGAAGTGGTACCTGGTCTAAGGTTTCTGATTTACTTAAATCTAGGACATTTCATGAGCACTCTGCTCTATTCTTGCACGAGAAGCCCCATTTCCTATCACTGCCCTGTTCTTTCACTCCCTCAAGAACATTATTAATCCTGTCCTTAGAGCTGTTCAGCTGCATAATGAAAATGTTGGCAGGCTTGAAAGAAGCTTGCAAATAGTGTCTTTAATCAGAGGCAAGACCTGTTATGGCCTGCCATAAAAGCACAGCCTGCCCCAACTATTGTGTTTCCTGTGGCACCTCTTAGATGAAAAGGGTAAGGCAACGAGCTTGGCAAACTCTTGGGGCATCTCCCTCCCAGCTCTCTCTGGCCTCGTAGCATCATGGGACACAGCCCCATCACGATATTCTTGTTTTCCAGCCACACATCAGCCAACGGCATCAGGAAGTGCAGCCTGAAAGGCCTTCCATAAAATGTAATGTGGCCAAGAAAAACAGGAAGAGAGAGCATTACTATTTTGCTGTTTCAATTCCTTTTGTACTCAGCCCCCTCAAGGCTTGACATGTCCCACCATTAAATTCAAGTCTCTCTTGCAAGTTTAGGTGGAGTTTGATTCATATAGCAAATCCACTTAACATGTATGTTATATTTTCTCTTTATCTGGAAAGAACCAGGCACAATTTATAAACATTGCAACAACAGAGGTTTTGTGGAAGTAATGGTGATGAAATGAAATTACAAACCAAAATTAGAAAACTTACCTCTAATTTCTTTTTCAAAGAGACTGGAGCATCTTTTCCCATGCATCTCATCAGGTTTTGCAGTATAAAAATGTCTCTGATATGTGGGATTCGCTGCTCTACTAGTAACCTGTTAAAAAAAAAACACAAGGCCTTCAGCCAGAGAGAATACCTGTTTAGTAGAGGTTCTCTTATGCCAGCAGACACAGAATGCTCTTATTCCAGCATTCCCGTTCTCCTTCACTGATACACCCCAACATAAAGCTGTAATTTATCCTGCTCATCTTGCACCCCCTCTTTTTTGCATGTCTGGCCCAGTTGATCATGATGTGGCAGCAGCACAGATGCTTACAAGAAGGGAATAACTCTATTTATGTAAATATATGCCTTCTTCATGCCACCCTGATGCATCAGTGTTGTCTCTCATTTTCTGAATAGGAGAGGCGCTGCCCGGACTGCACTGTGGGAATGCACAGACATTAAGTGCTGCAAGCCTCATGGAGTTAACACATTTTGCAGAAAAAAAATGCAGAAACAGCGAGAAAACTCAGGGATGGACCTTGATAAAAGCCTGGAGGAGATGAAGCAAAGAAAACCCAACAAGTGGTGCTTTGGGCTGCAGGAGCAGAAGGGAGTATCACAACACAGAGGCACCATGAGCACCAAATCAAGGAATCCTGCCTTTACAGCAGTTCCTTTTCTGGCTCATCAGGAAAGACTGTAATTGTTAACCCTAAATCACCCTTAAAAACACATCCACAGCTGCAAAAATAAGAAGTGTTAGTTTTGTTGCTTTCTTAGGTGGTGAAGTGCTCTGAAATTTATCACTGCAGGTGCTGCTTCCTGCAAAGGAGAATGAGCTCTAGACATTGATGGAGAGAAAGAGCTGGAGGGGAATCACCTGCTTTGCCCCAACCTATGAAAACTGGGTCCCTGAGCTTCTAGGACAACCTGATTCTTGTGTCTAACAGAGGCTCCTTCTCCTAGCAGGGCCTGGCAAAGGACCAGACCCAGAGCATGTTTTGATAGCTTCACTAAAAGCATTATCACGGGAGCGAGCAGATTAGTGACCCACATAACACTCATCCACCTTAAAAAAAAAATGCAGCCAAATGAGTTATTCTGCTAGAGCAGCAGCAGAAGCAGTCCTCTTAACTTTTCCTTACTTGATTCAACAGAAATAGTCTCCATCTATTAAACAGCAGGAGAACCCAAAACACTTCACAACGTAAGTTAGCCTCATTATCTCCTTTTCAACATATGGGCAAAAGAGGCCTGGAGAGGTGATGTGACTTGACCAATATCACGAAAAATACCCAGTTGTGGAGCTGCAGTCAGCACACGCATCTCTTGCGGAACAGTCTAGCACCTTATGCCATCAAAAGCCTTTCTACTGGAGGATGCAAAAAATGCCAAAAAATCACTGCCTTGTACAGCTGTTATCTCACGGGAATCATCTGGGTCCTAAAAATGCAGCGTCTTTTATGCAGACTCTCCCTCCATGATTTCTAAGAGACATAAAAATCAAAGGACATTTAAAGAACAAGTGAAAGATGCGACTTCCTCACCGTAATCCAGCTTGAAGAGCGCTTACATTCTTGTCTTTATCCAGCCCTGTTAAAACAGTTGCCAAAACTGAGATGCATCGGTTATCCAGTTGATTGAGCTTCTCCTGTTAGAGAGTTTGCACAATGGTAGATTACTTCAGGCCAGAGCAGAGAAAGCGACTGCTTTTAATTTACAAAGACGTGGCTACTCACTTGGCACACCCTGAGCAGGGTCTGCACCAGGAGGGTGTTCTGGGGCACGCCGAGGCTCACCACGGCGTGCAGGCTGAACACGAGGTCGCCGCGCGCGAGGCGCCGCGCGGCGCGCAGCAGCTGCTGGCAGAGCCCCACGAAGCCGCGGTGCTCCAAGATGAGCCGCTTCTCGTGGCGCCGCTGCTCCTCGGGGAGGCCGCGGAAGAGGCGCCACACGGCGCCGAGGCCGTGGGCGGCGTGCCTGGCGGAGACGGCGCGCTCGGAGGCCAGCTCGAGCGCGTCACGGGGGCACGCGCAGCTCTGCAGCCTGCTCACGAACAGCTCCCCGGGCTCTGCCGCCCGCTGCGCGTCCCGGCTCCCCGCGGCCGCCTCCGCACAGTTCCCGGGAGCCGCCGCCTCCTGCTGCGTTTTGGTGCCCGGGATGAAAACACTCGCCTTTTGAGACAGGAACCGGGGAGAGGGCTCGTGCAGGCAATGAAAAATATTAAAAGAAAAAATCCTAAAGTTGGCCTTTTCCATGGGATCCTTGTATCCGCCAATCCCTAAAGCTCTTGGTGTAGCAGAGGAGCTGGGTGCCCGCACAGCACAGCACCTGTGCATGCACCGCACCGTCTTTAATAAATAACTCATTTTATTATTCATTTTTGCTAATAGCCCATCAGCGGGTTTCAAACACCGGCTCGGAACGACGCTTCCGATGAAGCCAACGGGCCTGGAGGCGCGGCGCAAGCTCATATACCTGCGGGGCCAGCA